GGACTAAGGCTGGAAAGGGAAAACAGTTTGGTGGTTGTTTTTCCATCCCCTTCGCAGGCCAGGCTGCCCTTACTTTGGTTTGAGTACCTAGAACTGCTTTTCAAGTCGGTAAGCATCTCTTTGCCTTTACTAATACTCTGCAAAAAGCAGTCTGTCTTTTCAGAATACATCCTACATAAAAAGGACTGGAAGTCCATTATCTGAAGTTACTATCAGCAATAGCCCTGAAGCAGCCTGACCTGGAGTCAAGTAAGAGGCAAAAGCAAGCATAACCATAATCCTTCCTCCCTATAGCGTGAGTTTACTCATGACATTTTCTTGACCTGATCTTTCTTCAGTGGTGAAAGCTATTGCTGGAGATCACCGCAGGTTAGGGAAACCAAGAGACCTGTGCTTACAAAAACGTGCAAAACACCAACAGATCCTCAGTGGCATTCAATCTGTAATCCCAGCAAAGTAATGAGATTTATAGAAGCTAAATCCTAAGATGTTTTATTACACTGTGAAAGCATGTCGAATTTTAATATTTGTCAACACATGTGAATTCAGCTCATTTGTTTATAGCACAGTTGATATAAATTTCAACCTAAATTTGTGTAAAATATACAAAATTAACAAGTCAGAAACAATTTTGCTTTGAGACCTACTTCACTGTTTCCCAGAACATCAAAAGAATTAAAATCTTGATAGTCATAAAAACTAGAAGTTGATGAAATTTCAAAATCTCAGTAGCATTTTACTTCCCACATACAGCACATGACAATTGTCTACGTTCATTATTAATTCTTTCTGCATCTGAATTACCACCTTTATTATTTTCTCTAAATTATCAGGGTCTGGACCCACCATCAGCAGAGAGCATATGTAATATACCTAAGCTAAATCCTTAGCTGACAGTTCTTACTTTTTCAGTATCAGCTAAATTCTTGCACTGGCAAAGGATCACTTCATCTAGTAATTCCTTTCATCAGAAAGTATTTATCTCACTGATGAGAGCTTAAAGCAACAATCAAAATATAGTCAGTACTAGAAAATATTAGATTGTCAATTATCAAAAGTCTGTTACTAAGGCTTGTCTGTTTTTCAAAGAAAATTTTTTCATTTATATGAAGATAAACATCTTTGGTGATTTCAGACTTCAGAAAAATTACATGGAATGAGAGGCTGCTCTTAAATTTGAGAGAACTGATCCTAATTTCATAACATATATTGTGGCTTTAGTATTTGCTATATAGTACTACCTACCCAGTGTATACCATTAACTAAGTTTTATGATACCTCTGTCAGGTAGATGTTTTTTAAGAAGACATATACAATATTTTGTGAGAAAACCCTCTAATCCATAATCCTGATGTGTTTTCCTCAGGTTTTCCTGGGAAGAATCCCACAGTGGAATCCCAGACTTCATGTTTAATTAGGGTAGAAAATATTCTTTGCTCATAAAACATGGTTAACATCCCACAAAACTCCAATAAAAGTGCTATTACATGGATTACCAGTATCTAAAACACTGAAAAGAAATGCATGCGAAAATATTTTGTAAATAAGTTCAAGCATAAAAGCCAAGAGCAAATACTCAGGGTAATACACAACATTTGATCAGTCTCGGATATTAAACTGCAAAATATGTGATGCTGCAAGAGGGTAAAACTTATTTGCAAATCAGCCCAGAATATCAGCCGGAAGAACGCAGCCCAGAGGGAGAGGTATATCTCATAGGAAGAAATAACATGACAAAGTCCATAAAACATGTTTATGTATCTTAATGCCAAGCCGCAGTGCAAAAAACCAATGCATTTATTTTCTATCACTGACAAGGTCAGATAGAAATCTGTGACTGAAATCTGCAGGTAACCTAACATTGCACAGCAGCGACTGTTCACCACATGGAGCAGCACTGATGGGGTGCAGGAAGGGCACGAGAAGGGTGACTCTCCAGCTCACTCCACTGTCCTTCCTGGCAGATTCGCGTCCGGTTGAAATTTCACGCCAAAAGAGCTGTACAGCGATGCTCAGAGAGGGAGAACAAGATTAAAAATTACATAAAGAAGGGGGCAGGGAGCTATAGATGTTTTCAGAGAAAGCCAGCAAGGTATAGAGATACAGGAGGATAAAATCATTGTGCAAAAGAAAAGATGGGCTGTTCAAAAGGAAAGAATGGACTGGCAGTGATGAGCACTGAATATCATGAACAGATGAAGGCAAACGCAGACTAAAGTGCAGCTGCTTTAGGATTTTATTTTTAGTCATATTGTTAAAGAAAAAAGGCTTTCAAAGCAGAGTACTTCATCCTGGTTAAAGGCAGATGAACATGCTAGCCATGTATAAAGACTGCATCACCAGCATAAAGGAAACTTTAAATGTCACTGTAAAAATATTTACTGAAGAAGAAGCGTTCAAACTGCAAGTTACAGATCCTGAACCAAACTTCCCAAAGTTTGGAGCACCAGTATTTCTGAATGTTTCTCCTTAGAAGTGTTTTTAAGAGCTCTTAAAGGAAAAGGTTCATTTTCTTCTATTATCAGTAATGCCAAGGATAGTAAGAATTAATGCATGCAATTCTCAAACCCAGAAACATGTCTCTTCCATCAGAAAACATTCATGAAATTGGATCTAATTGATGTAAACTCAGTCTACTGACACTGATGAACCAGACACTTCAAATTCCCTATTTCTAGCCATATTAGGTCTTACACATACAGTCTTTCCATCATGAAAGAATGGACCGATAAAAATTCAAAGATGGCAAGCGGCAAGCAAGGTCCCTTATTGAAGCAGAAGGAGCAGACACTCCACCAAACTGCCTGGCCTTCTGCTGGGCAGAGATCTAAATCCAGTCCAGAGACATCGAGAAGAATCAGAGCGACTTTAAATTCTGGAAAGGTACATTTTCTACAGAGCATTTCTTTGCTTCTTTTGAAGCATATGAAATACTAATGTCAATTCATTACACATCAATGCATTTGTATACTCCCCTGTTATCAAGTGTCCAAATGAAAACAGTCTGTTCTGAATAATTTACTCCTGAATCATCAGCCAGCTTTCTTCTGCAAATCCAGGAGACGTTCACTATTCGCCAAATCACATCTATGACTGACAACCTTTTAGAAAAGATGTTCTCTCTGTTAATTTTCAGAAAGGTACCAGTGTACACGTATTTGATGTACTACAAAACTTCATATTTAGAACAGATATAAATGTGCTAATGACAAAGTAAAAACAAAGGCTATAAACCATGACGGTTTTAAGTTTGTGAGCTGAATGCAGCAGCAGGAACAATTCATTCAACCTCCAATAGTAAAGTCACTGTGATGATCTTTCCAGGAGGTCCCCAAACACATGAGGAAAGAGGCTGAGAGCTGGATAAACTGTTCTGGCAACCCACTTGCTGCTGTTTCTGTCCCAGGGTTCCCCCAGCTCCTGTGTCTCAGCCCATCACATGCTGCAGACTGCCTCAGCCAAAAGCTTTGCATCAGAAAACTTATTTAATCCAAAGCTAAAGATTATGTGAAACCACAGCTCCTAAAAAAAAAAAAAAAGGCCAATTCTGACTCAAGTGGTGACAATTCTAATTACTCCATGATTATTTCTTTAAGTACCAGTCTGTCTAATACCCTTATTCGCCTGAGCGTCAGACTTGCCGACAGCTCACTACTGCACCGTCCTCAGCAAAGGAGACAAAAGTTATGCCTGGTGGCAGTTAAAAAAATGCATTCACACAACCACTCCCCTTGGTACATTTGAAATATGAAGCTGCATTACTAAAATAATTCATTCTGGTCATGTTGTGGGGCTCTTTGGTAAGAAAAATCACAGTATCTCAGAAATGTGTATTCACATCCCCTTTCTCTTGCTGCACGAGGTGAAAGAAATATAAATGTACTTGCCGATTGATGTGATCACAATAATCCATTACCGGGGAAAAAACAATTTCAAAACAAGAGCCACTAACTACATAATTCCCTTATGAAATACAACAGTGGTTCTAAGTTAAGGATTTTTTCTTTTTTTTTAAGAACACAGCTATTTTTCCCATTTGCTCACTAATGTAATTCTAATGTGCTCGCTAACTTTTTGTTTTAAACTTTTTCCATTTGTTACTAATGGAATATAATTATTTCAAATCTCAAGATCCCGAGCAGAAATCTCCACTTTTTTAAGGCTAGGAAAAAACCTAAAACCACACCCCATTATTGTATTGGTCACTGCAGAGATACATGAGTGGAAGGTGGAGGGTCAGCACTTAGGAAGGGTAAGCTTTCAAAGACAGAAGAAAAGTGGATCACAGAATAACTTCAACAATATAAATATATACTGTTTCAGTAGAATCCAAATTTACTTGTACTTTCATTCTGGCCTTGGTATAGCCACCCAGGTACTCTTTTGCTATAAGCTACTAAAATATTATGAAACCCTAGGAAACTTGCTACATGTTAACTATTAACATCAAAACCCCCAAATTGGCTCATGGTGTGATTTGCAGTAGCTGCTGCTAAGACATGAGGTTTTAAGATTCGCTAACATATTGGAGAGGAAAAAGATACCAAACTGAAACACGTTTCCTGCCAGAAAAAGACAGAAAAATTGAAGACGGGAAACCGTGCCTTTAGTTGTACATTCATATGAATTACCAAGATTAAAAAGCCATGCCATGTTCAGCTCTGATAAAGCTATATATCTCTTTCAGGCAGATAAGACCAGATTGCATAATGTGACTGGTAATAAAGTGTACTTGTAACATGAAAATAGGTGTTATGTAAAATTAAGAGGACTCTTTCCTCTCATATGTCCTAAAACGTAAGGGATGTGCGATCATCATAATTTGTGATAGGAAGATAGGAAACAAGCAAAAATTGCATTCACCACCCAGAACGTATCTTTGAATACAAAGACAGAGACCACAAGTTCAAGTACACTAAAGGCCTGTAGTGAACAATACACTGACTTGGTTTGGATGCAATGCATTCAGCAATAGATAACATGTCTCAAGACATACGTAGCTAAATCAGGTTTACATTTTTTTCCAAAAGAAAGCTTACCTGCCCATTTTTTCCCAGTTCCATTTCAACTAGTGCAACAGGAGTGTTTATCTGATCGACGTGTCTTGACTGTGACTTCAGATCCACTCGCCAGTTCATGTTTTTCAAGATATTATCCCAACAGCTTTGATTGATCAGGCTCTCATGGATCTTTATTCGGTGGTTCTTCCAAAATTTTGCAATGACTGCAGCTTGATCTGATGTGATGCCACCTTGTTTTTTGGTTTGGGCAGTGAGAAAAGCCTCCAGTTGATTCAAATCCATGTCCGCTGATAGGGAAAATAAGAGGAGTAAAAGGGAAAAACTTGCTCAAAAGTACTCTTTAACAGTCTACCAAAAGGTTGCATCTTTAGGGTTTTACAAACACCAGACTGTAAAGGGATAGTGCAAACAAAGCTGGGTTATGGAAATAGCCTGACAACTTTCATTATATCTCAATTTGCAAGTGCCTGCCACTTATCCCACATTCCTGTCCCCAGACAGCTGGAGGGTAATGGATTGCCGACCATTGTAACAGAGGAAACTAGGAGAGCCTTTGGGAATGCAGGACTGGTACAGGATAACAAGGGAGGCTTCTCACTGCCTGACCCTTTCTCCCAGTATGCCCTAGGCAAACCCAACTGGTCACTGCTGAGAACACTGCGTCAGGAGTCTTGCATGACACTGCTGTTCTGATGGTCTGTTAAACAGGAAAACTGGGGCAAACATGGCATGCCCCCAGCCAAGGCTGAAACAAGTGAGGAGACATCCTAACTCATTGCAACATCCATGGCTTCATCTGCCACCTCCACATCGCAGACAAGGAAGCAAAACTGGTAAATGCTGCACCAGTAAAGCAGGGTCTGCAGCGCTGGCCACATCAGCGTGCTGGTGGCAGCAGCAAGAGCATGAGTCTTCCAAGGAAGAGTCTGTGTGCGTGAAGCAATCCTTAAAAATGCAACTGCAGCTTCTTCTGAAGCATCAGTGGACTCTGTCACACTAAACGCTGTGTTTGTGTTTTGCAAGGGGGTGTAAGGGATCATTTACTCCTCCTCCCTGCACAGCAACAGTTTCTTCCCAAACCCTTTTTTAAATAAATGAATATCTATTATATATCATCTATTACAGTTTTTCCACCTATTTTTCCAAAGGATGATAATCCTACAGTCCCAAGTTTGCATCGCTCAACTGGCAATGGTTGCTAAATATGGCAGTAAAGGGAGGGGAGGACAGGAGATGGAGAGAGGAAACTGTGGCTAAGTTTTCCCATCGCAGTTTCAAGCAGACGCTTTTGCTTCATTCTCACCCAAAATGGATGTAGCTTATCCTAAATGAACATGCCACCTCCAAGATACGAAGCACAGCCAGCAATCCTTGGAATTTGCCTCAGTTTAATTTTTCTTGACATGCTATTCCTACTGCTGTACTCCATACATTCAGGGAAATCACAATCTCGCTGTCGTTAGCCAAGGGGGTGACACCGTGTGGCTTTTGGCCGGATGCACGCTGTGTGCTTCACATTGCTTGTCTGCAAAATTGGGTATCGCTTATCTAAAAACTGATGGGTTAGCACTCCACGATCTTGCTGAGGACGCAAAACGTGGTGCTTCTCCCCACTTCATCAGCGATGAACTAAAATAGCCAGCAGGGTGAGCTACCAGTAGGCTTTGCCATCTTCCCCTAGACCAGACAGATGTCAAAGTATGCAATCGTAGCCACATTGGGAGCGGCCTGAAATAAATCAGCTGTTAAAAAAAGCCAACACAAGAACTAGCCCAAACCAAAGAGCTCATGCATCATGCAAACAACAGAGAACAGACGTAGGTTTGCCACTTTGAAGGGAGTAAAGCCAACACTGCGACATGCTCAGCCTTCAGCAGATGATACACCACCACATCCTCCTTATTCTGAGTCTTTTCAAGAGAAAAGCAAACCAGAAACAAATCCCCCTAAAAAAACCAACCCAACACACAACTTGTGATCTACAACAGTTACACTGCCTTTTATCATCCAGCATATAAGATCTTTCTCCTGAAGCTTTTATAGTTGTTTTTTTGGTTGTAGGGCTTTTTTGTTTTGTTTTCAAGAGGGACGTGCTGGCTTCCCTCGCTCTCGCAGTGGATTAGCTGCCATCTGTTATGTGATTGAGAAAATAAACGGCAATCCACGCTAGAAGTAACCGCTTGTCTGTATCAGGGTTCCAGCTAATAGGAGCATCTGCCAATTTATTATAAAATCTGAAATGCCTAGTACACTGCTCTGTCTTTTCTATAGGGCATTCACCATATCTGTATATATTGTTTGCTTTTATCATGAAGATACTTAAGAGGTAATTATCCTGTAATATCTAATTATGCCAGAAGCAGGGGAAAAAAACCCCACTTTTCATTTTCAAAAGAAAAGCTACTTAGACTTACATTCCTTTCCTATATCCATGTCTTACATGAACAGAACTGTCTGTGAACAGCACTGTGGAATATTTTCTGTTTTAATATTTTTCATATCACATCTGTGTGGGGATCTATTTGCATATTGTGTGACACCAACCACAGCTTACATACACCTTTTGTGTTGGTTTCTGTGAAGGGGGGGGTGGGGGGAGGAAGAGAGGTGAAAAAGCAACTCCAGACCCTAGCACCTTACATAAGTCCTGTCAAGACCAAGATCAAGTTGAAATGCAGACTTTCTTCTCAGTTCAGCTGCATAGAAAATTGCATTCTGTTTTATTCCTGTGCAGGAACCAAGAACATAAACTGCATCCTCTGCACTGAATGAAGGAAAGGTGTTACGGAGAAACATCTAATCTGCATTAAATGTGAACCTAATGCAGATTCACTGACTCAAATAACCAGGTAACCCTTTTCTCAGCTTGGTTTTATAATCTTCAAATATTTCACATTTGTAATTCTTAGGGGTTTCTTTTAATCTCATGCCCTTCAAAACAACTCTTTTTGCAAGATGCAGCAAGATTTCTGGCAGTGCTTTGCTAAGCTGATAAAAAACACGCACACAAAGTTCCTTGTTGTGTTTGACACGTGATATACATCTGACTTTGAAGCGTATCCCAAAGAGAAAGCTTACGATCAAGCTTGCAGTTTTAAGCATAAGGAAGACAAAACAGCATTACTAGGTCTTATACAGGATAGCTAAACTTGCCTGTTTGGCAAACATCATCAACAGATTGACAATTAGTTAAGATCCAGCATGAGGTACATTTAAAACCTCTGTATGTTCATGTACTACAAGCACCCTGATACCAAAATACTATCACGTAAATCAGAGGAAGGAAGCCATGTATCATAATTAACAATCATTTATCTCTCTCCTCATGGACACGTGTGCACATGTACACAGAATATGGATTGCTTTATACTATACAGATACACAGCTAAGAAACCATATTGTATTTTGGTGGAATTCTTATCAGATAATGCCTGCTTTAAAGAACATACCAATATAGTCCATCATTCAGTCTAGAATCTCTCTCAGCTTGGAAATAGGGATACTACTTAAGAATGCCTTTTTTAAATTAAAAAAAAAAGAATATCAATTTTAATCAGAAGCAGGTACAAGCAATCAATGAGTTATACCTCAGTATAGTTGCATGAAGATACTAATGAAGAGATATTTTCTTTGAAATTCCTCAACAAAACCCACCAGCTATACAGGTTTTCAAGTCACAAAAGAACAGCAATTCATTTTAATATTCTTCTTCATCTTAACTTGGAAACATTTCATTATGGTCAGGAAACCTGTATAAGTTACAAAGAATGAGAGAACAATTAAGGTCTTTGCTGATCTTCCATCTCCTTTACTGTACAAACACTTATACAACTCATTCTTTAAACAAACATAGTTCTACTTCATTGTTTATATGAATGACCACAGTTAAATTTTGGACTTTTTTAAGCTTGAGGAAATGTTTTAATTTAACTTGGCAAAAAATTATATTTCCAATCATATTCTGTACAGAATTACAAACAATTCTTTCCATTACTTTTAACAATGCTCATTTATTGCACAGAATATCTAATTATAGTGAATACGCCTTATTGATATTTCTAAGAATTAATTTAAAGTTAAAACATGAATGGATCTTCTGTGCTTATAACTAAAGACAGATAACATATATCTGATTATAGGTCTCCCTGTCATGCTTTTAAACCCTAGGAGCTTCAGATGAGCATTTACCACCACCACGACCAGCTGTTGTCCAGCTCCCATAGCACTGAAAAAGATGGTTTCACTGCCCGAATAAACAATACACACACATTTTAGCATCATTACTGGAAAATTCTCAGGACTTAAAGTTGTTGAAACCTATTTTATTCATCAGCTCCTACAGATGAATCACTCAGCATTGGTCCAAGAGGGATACATCTTATTAATGCCAATTACTTAGTCTAGACAGACCTTAAAGTGCAGGATCTACTGCAGTAACTTGAGTCACTGTACTGTCGGTGGCAGATGTCATTATATTATATAGACTTTGTATTCTGAGCTGCATGTACATGGAGATCCTGCCTCAGTTGTTTCCCACTTCATCTCTTCAGCAGTCATCCATAGCCATACTTTTGCAATGTCTTATCACAGCCACCTTTTTATTTACAGACTGTCCCATCCCTATGCAGTTCTACAGCATGTGAAGAAGTGCTGTGTTAAAAGTATGGCACAAGAAAAAAAAAGTTATATAGGACCTAATTCCGGTTTTTATTGGTAATCACAAATGATTTAATATTTCAACATAAAAATCTTCAGCTAACAAAAAGCAGTAAAGTTTTCTAAGAATGTATAAAATCAAAGCTGCTCTATGTCAGTGGGTAATTTCATTTACATTACTATGACTATTCACTTAAGTGACTAAGTAAAAAAAAAGCCTATTTTCAAAACTAGAGTAAGAGAACACCATTAGATATTAAAAGTTTCCTCACATTATGTATTTTGAGATTTGTTAAAATGTGCTTCCCCCCCCTGCAAGAAGCACAGCTTACGGACAGCACGTCATACTACAAGCACACAAATCCCATTCTCAGCAGCTGGCTACACCTTTCTTTGCAGAGGCTGGGCAGGTGCTCTTAAACAGCAAGAAACAGTTTTGGCCACACTGACTTCTCCTTCACTTTCAGCACATATTCTCTATATCTTCAAATACAATTCAGCCAATAAAAATATGACTTCAAATACTATTTCCTTAATGGAACAGTATTTGATAATCTGGAGAGTTTTGTATTGGCTTAATTAAATCCATTAGAGATGTGCCTTGGTATACAAAAAGAAAACAGACTTAAATTCATTATGTCTTCTGAGAAATAAAGCCTGACAAGC